GGGTGGGGGGGGGGGGGGCAAGCGCCAGTGTTGGGTGTTCAACCACATGAACAAGGCCGGGGGCTCCACCGTGAAGTATATGCTGGCGCCTTGGACCAAGGCGCAGAACGTCACTGTCGGCCTCTACGACTCCCCCCAATGGCTGGAAGGGAAGGACTTCGCGCAGGACTTCCTGGGGGACGAGAACTCGCTCATGTGGGGCGCTTACACGGAGGGGCTCCGGCCTTTCGGGGGCCTGGGGCTGCGGGAGTGCAAGTGGTTCACCATCTTCCGTCAGTGAGTTTTTTTTTTTTTTGTGTGTGTGTGTGTGTGTGTGGTCGCCCACCCCCCAGATGAGACTAAAGAGGCCGGCAGGCAGGCACATGTAGGCAGCCTTGAAACGCCAAACCTTTTTTTGTTGCTGTTGTTTTTTTCCTTGTTTCTGTCTTCCGCCCCTGAGATGAGATAGTAGATGCAGACTGAGATGCCGGCAGGCAGCAGGCGGCCCTGGAAGGTTAACCCCTTTTGGGGGGTTAGCGAGGCGGTTGAATGGTTTATCCTGTTTTCGGTGGTTACTCTTCTTATGCTTTGCCTTGAGAGGGATTGACGTGTCGTTTGATTTTTCGGTTAGTCTCACATTGTGCCCCGAGTAAAAACGATTTTTTTTCTCAACAGGCCAAGCGCTGCTAGAACATTCGTAATATGGTGTTCCGATGCCGTGCTTGTGGCGGTGGTTGTTGTGTTTTTGGCAAACTGGCCTCTTGGGCTGTTGCGTCTGTTAACATGCCGGCCCATAATTACATCTCCGCTTGCTATTCATCCTCTGTATATGCTCTACATGCCTCGGGTTCTGCTCTGCGTGCCCTGAACGCTTTGCTGACGTCTTGACACCCTTCTGCTGAATAACCGCCATGACCACCATCACCAGCATGATGCTTTCTCTTTTCTGGCAGCCCCGTTCACATCTCCACACCCTTCTGACGAATAACCATCGCCATGATGAAACTCTTCTTCTCGTATTGTGTGGCAGCCCCATACCGCGCCTCGTGAGCGCCTACTTCTACTGCAAGAAGAAGCCCCAGGATGGCCTCTGCGCGACGGTGGCCCTCGATGCCAACGCCGACGACACCGACCTCTACGCCTTTGCGGAGCACTGGGGGGACTTCGGCCTTAGGCAGTTCGCGCTCGCCTTCGTGCTGCCGGAAGAGCTGTTGGCCAACAAGGTGCGTCTGTGCGCTCTCACTTGTGTGTGTGTTTCGTGGGAGTCATGTGTGTGAGTACGTGTTGTTGACGTTTAATTTAATCTCGGCACGTTTTCATGTATGCAAGAACGGTGTGTTTCCTTCTTCTCGGCATCGGCTGCGGTAGCCGGCTGACCAATGAAAAGACGCCAGTCTTAGTGCGGCTGAAAACAGAAAACGCTCCTGATCTGGGACCCCGTGAGGGGTCGAGTCATGGGCCAGGCTGGGCTTTATTGCGGACAGAAACGGTATACTATAGCACATGAAGACAAAAATTGCACCTGTCTACCGATGCTTATACTGCATTCTACTCATGTTCTCATGTTCGCTTTCGGCCCCCTTTCATTCTCCTTGCTTTCACCGCTCTCTTCGCTAGTATAGTATTTCTAACACTTTTCTTGGGTAGTTCTTATACACATGCCACACGGTATCACGGCACAGGGGGGCGGTGTACTCTTCTATGTTGCATGCCTTAGCGGTTAGACCATTGACCACGCATCCTCGAGAGGACGGAGCATTGTTCCCCCAGGACCTATCACCGATGGCCAATCGTTCCTTCCTACTTTGCCAAAGGTGGCTAAAAAATGTCGTCCCTAGTCTATCTCTCCTATCGATTCACTTACCGCCTTTTCAACCTACTACCTATGCTCAAGTACAGCTACCGTCTTCTCCTGGCTATTTATTCCATGCCTCAAATATCTCTCTGTATCTTCTTTTTACATTTCCCAGCTCAGTCATGTACACTTCCCTCTCCTGCTGGTACAACGGATACAGGGGGGGCGGGGTGGCGGGGTGTACTCATGGTCGTGCATGCTGTAGTCGTCTGACCATTGACCTCGCATCCCTACCAAGCCGGAATAGATCACGCCAGATGAGGAGGTACTTCGTCCGGCTAGGAACTGCCTCGTTTTTGTCCATCCTATGCATAGTCTAGTGTTCTGGAAGTCGGTCGCTACACCGTTCGTTACAACGCTGGATGCACCACCCGGGGTCACACAGGAGGAAGGACAGCCAGCCACCCGCAAAAGTTTTTCTCTTTCTCTCTTCGCCTTGCCTGTGCAGGGTTCCTTCCTTGACGTGTAGTATCGCGAGAAGGATTGAGGCTTCTTTTAGTTGCAGCAGCACTAATAGGCAAACGAAAAACGGATCGATTCAAAAGTTCACAACACAAACAGCAGTTGCCGTTGTTTGGATTGACCCGCTTGAAGAGGGGGGAGACCTACGTGGATGAAGAGATACTGCACGCGGTCGGCAAACCTCACAGACAGGCAAGTGGTTATGATAGTTAAAAGATGTCGTTGGTTGGTCGGCGTGGGTGCAAAGCAGGCTAGCCAGGCAGGAGAGGTTTGGAGTCACCGCCGGGAGCTCTACCCTTCCCCGCAAGCCGATACGTTCGACAGTCACTGACTGGTGTACGCGGAGTGCGACAGACAGACAGACAGACAGACGTACAGACAGACGCGTGCACCTTTCGCCGCCGGGGACAGCGTTCAATTCCAAGGGTACGGCGACGTACCTGTGACCCTCAGCTGCTTCAACGGAAGTGTGTACATGGTTGTGGTGCAGCCGACGCACGTGTGCAACTCGCTGGGGGTAGCAACGCTGCACTTCTGTTGAAGCAGCTGAGGGTCACAGTTACGTCGCCGTACCCTTGGAATTGAACGCTGTCCCCGGCGGCGAAAGGTGCACGCGTCTGTCGCTCGCACTCCGCGCACGGTGCTTGTCGAAGTCGAACGCGTTGGCTTTGCGGGGAAGGATAGCTCCCGGTGCCAAAGCCTCTACGGACCTCTCCTGCCTGGCTAGCCTGCCTCTACACTCCCACCGACCAACCACCGACAATTTTTTACATAACCACTTGCCTGTCTGTGAGGTTCGCCGACCGCGATTAGCGCCTCTTCTGCCACGAAGGGTGCACGCCACCCCCGGGTGTTGCCCCAGCCGCAGGCAAGTTGACCGCAAGCACACGTTCGTTGGTCAGGCTAAAAAAATATGTGCTGGTCAAAATATACCTTTTTTGTTCACTGATGAGGCGTGAGTTTATGCTGGTAATAAAGAACGAGATGATGGAGCGACAATTAGACTAGTACTGCCTGCCTGGTGAAGGATTGAGTCTTCTCCTTTTCCTTGAGAAGCAGGACAGACACTGCTGTCGTCGTCCTATTCCTGCTTCCCCCCCCCGACTAGAAAGCTTGTTCGCGTTTTTATTTCCCGCCACAAACAAATAAGACTGGCGTCATTTCGTTGGTCAAGCGGTGGTTGACGCGGTCGATGCTATTTCAAAAACACACAAACATTTGTTTCGACGCATTTTGTTGTTTCAACCGCACTGAGGCAGACGTCTATTCGTTGGTCAGCCTTCTAGCGCGGTCGATGCTATATTAAAGAAACACAAGCACGAACCCTCATTTTTTTTTCTTCCTTCTCTAACGACGGCGACGGTAACGGCGGTATCGGCTGTCTCCAATTTCGCCTTGAAACCACCCACGCCGCCTTCTCCGCCGCAGGTGAAGTACGACGCCACCGGGATCTGCACGCCGTACCACGGGAAGAGGAGCTGCCCCGGGTGGTACGAGCTCAAGCTCTACCTGCAGCAGCAGCTGGACGAGCAAGAGCAGGGCGAGGGGTCGCGCGGGTGGGACGGGTCCGGCGCCGCGGCCAGCGGCGCGGCCACCATTAGCCACCTGCTCCAGCCCGTGCAGGAGCTCCTGACTAACGAGTACGCGGCCGTGGGGGTCCTGGAGCAGTGGGAGACGAGCCTCCTACTGTTCAACGAGGCCCTGGGGATGCCGGGTTTCGACTGGCCGGAGACGTTCGGCAGCATCGGGAAGAAGAACAGCGACGGCACGTTCCACAACGAGGAGGCCGAGATGCTGCTGAGGTCCTGGACCGATCCCAGGCTGCGGAGGTACCTGTCGCTGGACCTGCTGCTGTACGACTATGCGGTCAGCGTCCACAACCAGCAGGTCGACAAGTACGGTCTCGGCGAGGGGAGTTAGGCAAGCGCAAGCGCTATGTAGCGCGTGTGGTGGTAGTTTTTTTTTTTTTTTTTGCATGTTTTTTACAAACTACGTGTGGTACCATTATTGTTGGCATCGACCGCGCTACATAATTAAAAAGTACGTACCATTATTTTTGGCATCGACCGCGCTACATAATTAAAACTGGCTGGCTACATTGTTATATGCCAGTCTCGGCGCGGCTAGAAACGTTTCTAAGGCACAGATCACACGGGGGCCCCGTCAGGCGTGTGTGTTTTGTGTGTTTTGTTGGGATTCTTGTCGCCACGCGCGTGTGCTTAAGGTGGGCGAGGGCTCTCGGGTGGTGGTGGTGGCTGCGTGGGGATTGAATTGAGCTCCCCCCAGTGGGTGTTGTTCTATATATATATCGGGCACGCACGCGCGCTTGCGTGTGAGTTGGCTTCGAGTTTTATTCCGGTGCCTAACAAACGGACCCCGCTTCATCCTCGTCGTTGTTGTTGTACGTACGTGTGCTGGTGCCCCGCGATGTGGCAACGCGTGCACGGTGCTTGTGCTTTTTTTTTTGTTGGTCGGGTGCTGTTGGGGGGATGTGTATGAATGACGGCGCGCAGTGGTTGTTCCGTCACTTCTCGTTGTTATTGTTGTTGCAGTCCTTGTGGGGGGGGGGGTCGGGAGGGTGTCGCTTTTCGTTCTTGTCGTGTCGTACGAGTCTGCTCGGGCCTTGGTATCTTCGCCCGCGCTTGCTCTCTTTGTCGTTGGTGCGTCCCCTGAGAAACGGGCGTCATTGCGTGCCTCACCGGCCTTGCAGCCTCTGGAACAGAGCAACCGGTACGTGCCATCATCGTACGAGAAAATCGTTTCGATAGCCCGTGGAGCCCGACCGGTCCTCCCCCGTACATGCGCCAGACCTGGCGCAGAAGGTGGACTTACTAGCCAGAACTCCTACAGGCAGAGCCCTGTTTTTTACTGACCTAATCACGGGCGCCTGTGCCTGAGCCCCCCCCTCCCGCACCAAAAATTCTGGTTGTAGGGGGGGGGGAGGGGGGGGCTGCATTTCGACAGCCTCCGACAAAGAGCGTCCCGATAGAGTTTGGGGCGGGTGAACTTTAGAGCCTGGCACCAATGGAGCGTGGTGCGCATGGTGGTCATGGTTTCGTACTGGCCTCGTGTATTGCGGTGTATTCGTTTGGATGGTGTGCAATGGGTAGTTCTGTTTCGAGCTGTACGTATGCATGATGATGTGCAAGCATATCGATTTTGTGTTTGTTTCCTCTTGTTGGAAAGTGTAACGTTGCGGAAGGATTAATAATAGTCTACCCAACCCCAACGCAGGACGCGGGGAATCAACAGGATGCGTTTTGGGTGTTTTTTTGCTATACTTTACTTGTTTTTCTGCTGCGTAGCCTTGAGCCCTTGTTATCGTACCTCCAAGACTCGTGAGGGACTGACTGACACGGTCGTTGGAAAAACATGCCACACGCCGATTGTTTGACGCGACCCGGCTCCTTCTGTAGGAGGGGAGGCGAGGATACGTATTTCCTTTCTCGTTTTTTTTTTTTTTTGAATGGTCGTTGTCCGTACAATAGCATCTGCGAAAAAGCGCAGATTGCAAGGGTACAAACACGCAGACAGAGAAGATTTTCTTTCAAAAAAATTGTTGCATTTCTGTGTGGTCCGTCCTTCTATTTTTACGTGCAGCGTAATGTCTTCGTCGTGTGGCGGCCCACATTCCGAGTGATGACTCTGGAGCAAGTTCTTGTGCTTTCTTTCCTTGGGACCAAGTCCGTTCTCTACAATGCTTTGGTCTAGCCTAGTTCTGCGTTTTGTCGCCCCTATGCGGCTCAGTTGGAAACATGGTAACCTTCTGGCCCTCTAGATCGCGGGTGCGAGTCTCTCTCCGGAGTGCCAAAGACTGCGAGCACCAAACATCTCCTCAGGGAGCGGAGTCCATCGCATTTATGCTGCCCCCCTCTAATTTCGTCACGCCCATATTCCCGTTTCTATCTCGATGCGCACAACAAAACTTTTCAAGCAGATAAGAGTATATACATCATGCTTGTATTAATAGATGTCGCGAAAAAAAGCTCGGATCCCGAAAAAAGGTGCTAGACAAGAAGGCTCAAGCCACTACCTCCGCGGAGAGGCTGCGCTACTGTAACAACCACCGCCGAAAACCTCCCTTTCCCTCCTCCACACAGCCTCGGATGGGCCGGCCACCCTGGGCGCAGCTAGCGAGAAATAGGAGTTACTACCCGCAGCAGCAGCTGATCCATGCAGTTGCCGGGGGGGGGAGGGGGCACCGCCTATTGCACCGCCTCCGCAGACGCGCGGCCGCTCAAGTCTGGACCCTGCAATCACACAACAGACAAGCTTCTTCTTCAGTAATCGCCCTCCTCGTCCTCGTCCTCGTCCTCGTCCTCGACCAGCTCGTCATACCGGTCGGAGATGCCGACCGAACTCCATCCACGCCCTCCTCCGTCTGCTTCCACCGGGCCTCTTCTTCTCCAGCCGCCGTCGCTGCTGAGTCTATTGTCTCCCGCCGCGCCACCCGTCATCCGCCAGCTGCTGCTGCTTTGGGGTGGTGCCTCTCTCCACTTTCTCGAGGGTGGCACCTCCGGTATAGGGGATTCCGGTGCTGCTGCTGCTGCTGCTGCTGCTGCTGTTGCTGCTGCCGCCGCCGTGGGAATGTGTGATTCCTGAATCGCGAGAGGAGAGACAAAGCCGTAGGGGGGAACCCCAACCCATCAGACCTCCCGCGTCTCGCGACAAACGCGCCGCAACTCACACACGAAGAACTTGAGCCTGAAAACAAATCAAGAATTGGCCTTAAGAACATGTGCACCGTCAAGAAGCCTACATAACACTAAAAATAATGCGGTCGCCGTGGGGGTACTCCCTACAGGAAAACAAGAAACGAGTACGCATTAGCCTCCGACAAAATCAGAGGTTCAAAAGTGGTGGCGCTGGGATTGAAAAACAAAAAAAAAAACTGTGAACGAACAAGCCCACGCCGTTCCGTTTGTTTGACGAGGAGGCAGAAACCAACACCTTCTCCTTCCGTTTTACGACTTCGTGTACGCCGTTTCTCCCTTACACCTACCCCGGTCGCTTACGACGGTAGATTTCCCCAACAGGGGTGCACGAAGGCATCTCGCACACTCTCTTTTGTTTCACCACCAATAGGAGACACAGTAGCAGGAGTTCCAATAAGCCAAGCTTCCGCGGCGTTTTATTGTGAGTTGAGTTGCGAGACACACTCTTTATTTTTTATTAAAACCTGATGGTTGCAACGCTCGCTTGGTGCTCTCCATAGCGGCAAGTCGTGTACCCGGGAGGCAATGTGGGGTTTGGCAAAGCCCTTATGGCCACCTCCTACATTGCCGCAAGATCATCGAAACAGAACTACACGTTTTTCTCCAAAACAGTGTGGTAAGATGTCACCCCAAAATGACCCCCCGGTACGGTAGCATCCTGCTTTTTACCTCGAGGTCGTCGATCAGATCCAGGAGGGAGCCGTCGAAAAAGCTCTCGCCGCCCAGCGTTGCTAGCGCCTGTCACCGCCACCGCGTGGAAGGCCGGGGCACACAGGAGGGTTCGGAGGAGATCAGGAAAGGCGGAAAACACGGGGACGTTTAATGCCCGCCTTGAGCGTCACCTGTGGTGGCGCCATGTCCCGTGCTTTGTGTGATTCTAGAAATAACCCCAACGGCGGCCGCTACGCGCACCTGTCCCCGGCACCACCTTCCGCCCACAAAACGAATACGGCTCTGCCGAAACCACGTCACAGCCTCACTCCCGGCGATTGGGCAAACGCCTTGGCAGCAGCATCTACGGTACTTGATCTAGGGGTATGTGGAATATCATTCAGCGTAGTATTTTTATGAAGAACACTCACATCCATGTCCTGTGGTGCAATCTTCCCGATTCCAGAACGAGCGCAAGAACGGGGATCGCGACTTACGGATAGCGCCAGCGCCTAGAGAACTTTACGGGTAAGAACTCCATGCTCACTCAGCATTATATTAACCGTGAAGAGCTTAAGGACCATTTGCGAGCCCGGGCAATAAACCCCCGCACGAAAACCCTATCAAGGTTGCCATTTGTAACCCACAACAGGAGCTATAATACGAACCCCAGCCCCGGTCAAAGACAAAGGTTGTTGAGTCCGCGTGCTATCTGTAGCCCCCACCGTATGTCGTGTGGTGTGTCCCACTCACCTCGTCCGCATCATCATCGTCGGAGAGAATCACGGCTTCTAGCCCGGCGGCACGCCACTTCGTCTCCTGCAGCAGGCCGCCACCGCCGCCGCCTTCCTCCTTCCTCCACCCTCTGCTACCGCCGTCGCCGTCGCCGCCGCCGCCGCCGCTGCTGCGGTCCCATCCCCCGTTGTCAGCGGCGGCCGCTTTCACGACCTTCCCCTTTGTCGGCGAGAGACACCGCCTCGTCTTGGCCTTGTGGCCTTCCATCGGAACGGTCTCCTCTTCGCCATCGTCCCCCCGCCGCAAGCACCGTGACCCCGGCTTCCCGCCGGTAGTTCTTCTGCTACCGCCGCCGCTCCGGAGTGAACCGATGCCGTCAGCAGCACCCGCGGCAACGCCGTGGTGGCTGCTGCTGGTGATGCGAGAAAAGGAGGCGTTCGGCGGTGTCATCGCCGTCGGCGGCGGGCGTCGTCGTCCGGGCTCGGAAACGACGACAGCAGCGGCAGTGTTCCGAGGGCAGTCCGCTACTACTGCTGTCTTCTTCGCTGTTCCTGTTGTTGTCGTTGTCCCCCCGCTGGAAAGGGGAGGGTGCATCAACCGGCGGCGGGACCCCGGGACAGCCGTCGCTCTCGTCTTCACCCGTGGGTGGTACTTGTCTCCCGCGAGTGGCGGACCTCCTCCACTCATAGGCGCCGTCGCAGAACCCGTCGTAGATCCCAACGTAGATTCCATCGTAGATTCCATCGTAGATCCCATTGAAGACCCCATTGTAGATTCCTTTGTAGATCCCATTGTAGATCCCATCGTAGATTCCATCGTAGATCCCATCGTAGATCCCATAGCAGATCCCACCGTAGATCCCACCGTAGATCCCATCGTTGATCCCATCGTAGATCCCATCGTAGATCGCGAGCGGCGACGACGGCGGTCAAGCGCTGCCACCCCGAGCTCACGGCATGCTCCCGCACCCCCGTTACCCGGCGCCGCCCGCCCCCCCGCCGCCGCCTGTCGACCTAACGCCGACGAAGAAGCGCAAGGCGAAGAAAACGAGGACGGGGGCGACGATGCGATATCGTGCGCGCTACCGGGCCGTCGTCGCTGCTGCTTTCGCTGCTGCGGCCTGGACGACGAGTCGGCGACCGGCCCGCCGGTACCCCGGGGAGGGATACCCCTCCTCCGGCCGCAGCCACCGGTGCCCCCGCTGCTGCTGCGGCTGCTCGTAGACCCTATCGAGGAGGTAGTGGCGAGGTCTCGAGTGAGGTCGCTCCCGGAGGACCGCACGCTGATGGAGTCCCAGCTTACCCGGAGCTTCTTGCCCCCGCTCGAAGAAGCGCCAGGAGCCCCCCCGGCCTCGGCGATTTCGGAGACGCTAGCCACTCCGTCCTCTTGCCGACACGGCTTTCTGCGCGGCGAACGAGCACCATGTCTCGCTCCTCCTGCTCCTGCTCCTGCTCCTCCTCCTCCTCCTCCTCCTCTTACTCCTCCGGGCGGCGACCTATCGGTCGGAGCGTGCGGGAGGGGCTCGGCGAGCGCCCCCCGTCCGCCACCGTCCATCGAGAAAACGCCTCCGCTCCTGCCGCCGCCACCGCCGCCGCCGTCGTATCTTTTTCGGCCGTCGCCTCTTCCGGCCGTGCTTCCGGCGGCGAGCAGCAGCTTGTCGGCCGACCGCGCCCACCAACCGACCCCGTCCTCCCCGTCCTCGTCGTCAAGCCGTTCGGCATCTCCGAAGCCGACGCCGTCGTCGTTGTTGTCGCCCCGCCCCCCGTCTCTTTGTACGCTTCCCCCCCCATCTACATCGCCCCCCTTCTCGCCATTCCTTCTTCTTCTCGTACACAACTCCTGCTGCTGCTGCGACATCACGCGAGTGCTCCCAAAGCCATCGCTCGCTGCCCCCGAGCCCCCCGCCCCTCCACCGCCTCTCCCGACTCCTGGGGGACCGGGGATTGGGCGGCGATCGCCGACAGCAGTGGAATGAGCGGCAGCAGCATCAACAGCAGGAGAAGCAGCAGCTGGGTCGTTGAAGGGGTGAGCAGGTCCGCCGCCACTGCCGCCGCTGTGGCGGCCGTTCAGTAGCGCGGCTCCCGTGCGGACGCCAGTGAGAGCCAGCTGCTGAACTCCGACCATGACGAGCTGCTGTTTCAGGATTTCCATCTGAAGGGGGGCGGGAGGGGGAGGAGCGGGGTTTAGACATGTCCATGCACTGTATGATCCTGGGGCGAAGAACGGCACTGACGTTACACCGGTGGTCAACCACACCCCCATCCTCGATGTTGGCGAGAGACTTCAATAACTCACCGGTGGAACAGTTTTCCAAAATATTTGGCCGTAAATGCCAGAACCCACGAGCAAAAACAAGCCCGAAGAACGAGGTACACAGTAATACACACTTCTTCGGTAGGCCACGTGCGGAGGCACCATTTCAGTCCCCCCCCCCCCCCCCCCCCCCTCACAAATTTCCCAAAAAAAAATAAACCTCACAAGCGGTTTCAGGAACAAAACACGCAGTTTGCCGGCAGCTCCTCCCTCACGCACCTGCTCCTTGACGGGATCCAGCTCAACACTAAAAGCCGCGCCTGGTACCGCTTCTCCCTCCAAACACGGGCGAACCCGTTTGGGAGAAGGGGGGGGGGGGCAACCTCTCGCCCCAACACCGGGACCGGGGGGGGCACCAACACCGATGGGGGGGGGGGGGTTCACACCGCCGCCCCTACCGACAACCCCGAAATTGCCGCCCGTGATGTCGCCCCCCGGGCCCGTCGTACGCCCGCCCCCGGGCGAAACTAACACAACCCCTCCCGAAGGGGCGGACGGCTTTTCTTCGCCGCTGATTGATACGGCTCGGCCGTCTGCGCCTCTAACCACCGCCGCCACGCCTTCCTTGCCGCCTGTCCCCGGCAGAGGCTCCGCGGTATCAACGGCGGCGGAGGGGGAGGCGGCAGTGGCGTTGGAAACACCCTTGGTGGCGTGATCGTGGACAGGCGCGAGCAGGGGCGCGACCGGTTGTTGGTGGGACGCCGGACCCGAGGAATGAGCGCCCTCCCCGCCGAGCAATCCGAGGTCATTGCGGCGAGGACCCTCTCTGGCCGCAACGGGGCTGTCTCTAGCTTGCAGTCGGCGGTGATGGTCAAGTTGCCGGCGAAGTTCCTGAGACACACACACGCATTCACACGAGGATCAACGAAGCCCAGCAGATACATGTGCCGCGACAGTAGGGCGCGAAGCACGGAGCGGGCGAATGACCGTGCTCAGAGTGCGGCTACCACCCACAGCCAAACCTATCGTCGCGCTCAGGTTGGCTGACGAGCCTCACCCCTCTAAACTTCGCGCGAAGCTCAATCCACACCAAGCCGGGGAGTCGGAGAGAAAGCAATCGAAAGACCCGTAACACAACGACAACGACAACGTGACAACAACGAAACTGACACCAGCAACAGAGTGTCACAGGCGGGGGGCGGGGGGGGGGGCAACCAAGGATGGCACCGGGTTTCTCACATCTGCTTGCCCCCTCGCCTGCCGCAGCTCCTCCGCCATGGCGGTGCGACCGGAGCGTTGCGCCGCCGCTTCCGCCTCGGCTTTCCGCGTCGACTGTCGTAGCGTCCACATATTCGGCCAGGAAGAAAGGACAGGGGTGGGTGGGGAGCAACAACCCAAGCGCACGCAGGGGGGGGTCGTGAGACCTGGCGCCAATCGCCACCGCCGACCCTGTGCGCTTGTGTCCAAGACGTGGAAGTTGGCGTTACCCACACGTTTCGCGGCCATCACAGCAACCAACGTCTACCGGACGGAAGGACAACCGATAGAGCTACAACAATGCTCAACACGACAACATAAATTTGGTATAAACCACGGCGTTGACAGTAGTCACCTGCGCTTACTTCTTGCTGAAAAAAAGCGATGCTTTCGGCGGTATCTCCCCCCCCCCGACCTTTGGTTAAGTAGGAAGGAACGATTAGCCATCATCGGTGATCGGTCTTGTGGGAACAATGCTCCGTCCTCTCGATAGGACGCGAAGTCAATGGTCTCACCGCTAAGGCATGCAAAACATGAGTATCCCCCCTCCCCGCCCAGGGCACCCTTCATGCGACCCGCCGAATACCTCACGGCGCTTCGCGCTTGGTCATGTGAGAGACTGGTCCGGTGAGAACCCGGCGTGCTCTGCCACGGCTTTGTAGGGATGCGAGGTCAACGGTCTAACGACTACGACATGCACGACTATAAGTAGCCCCCCCAACCGGCTCACCTCCTCGGCCAACCGGAGGGTCTCGCGCAGAGCTTGAATCTCCGCCGCCGCCGCTGCCGCTGCCGCCGCCACCGCTGCCGCTTCTTGCTTCTCCAATCGCTTGCCGGCACCAGCCGCTCCTCCTTTACCCCTCACTCCGACTCCTCCTCCTTCGTCAGCCGCACCGCCCTCTTGCACGATGCTCTGTTTTCAGGCGAGGGTGGGGTAGAGGGAGCGGCAGATAGAACGACAAAGCCCCAAACTTTAACGCCCGCGTTTTTTCAGCGCACTACTTTGCTGATAGTCATGCCCGGCTACAACGAGAAAGTGTACGGGGGGGGGGGGGGGGGGGGGGCGGGGGGGGCGTACTCTTATGTTTTGCATACCTTAGAGGTTAGACCATTGACATTGACCACGCGTCCTCGAGAGGACGGAGCATTGTTCCCACAGGACCGATCACCGATGGCCAATCGTTCCTTCCTACTTTGCCAAAGGTGGCTCAAAAATGTCTTCCCTAGACTGTCTCTCCTAACGGCATCCCTTCCCGCCTTTTCAAACCACTTCCTAATCCCAAGTACAGCTACCGTCCTCTCCTCTCTATTCCATGCCTCAAACATCTCCCTATACTTTCCTTGTATTTTTCCCAGCTCAGTCATGTACACTTCCCTCTCCTCTTAATGCCCGCGTTTTTTCAGCGCACTACTTTGCTGATAGTCAAGCCCGACCACAATGAGAAAGTGTACGGGGGGGGGGGGTTCAAAGTGTAGGTTCATTTCAGAGTGACGTTCGAGAAGACGGAGCGGCGATCGACGATCGTCGCTATCGTTTACTCCCCGAGATATGTCATCACCACCATCGCATTGTTTTTCGTTGCGCGAAAAAATCTAGGGCGAACGTTCATCATCAGATGCCGGTCTGGGTATTATTTGAAGAAAAAATAAAAATCCAAACCAAACGTGTCCCACATCAAATACAAACCTACCTAGAGATCGCACTACGATAACGAAAAATAATTCCCCAAGCACATGATCCAACAGCACCAACCTGGTACTTCCTGAGGAGCTGCATGCTCTGCCCGAACTTGTCCTTGAGGCCGGCCATCTGCTTCACGATCGACTCATTCTGCGCCCGCAGCCGCTCGAAGCGGGTCTTCTGGCCCTCCTTCTCTTGCCTGAGCTTCACGAGGTCCTGCATCAGGCGAGCCACCTTGGTCTTGTCTTCCTTGCACAGTTCCGCCAGTCTCGCGCCGCCGTCGACGGCGACTCCTCCCGCCGCCGCCGCCACCTCCGGCACTTGCCTGCCCACGGCCGTAACCGTGCTCTCATCGCGGCAGTCCTCTCCGGTGGTGCCTCGCTTGATGGCGGCACCGAGGTGGCCTTTATCCCCCGAGAATCTCACTCGAACGGTAGCATCGGTAATGGATTCGACTCCCGCGGACTTGACGTTCCTCGTCACTGTTCCCGTTGGTGCCGATCGAGCGGTGAGGTCGGGCGTCATGCCTCCCGAAGCCGCGGACGCGGACAACGCCACGGCCGCCGCCTGCTTGGCCTTGCCAGCCAACCGCGCGAGCAACGCCTCCGCATCGCCGTCTTTGGCAACTACGCCGCCGCCCCCGCCGCCGCCTTTACCGCCGCCGTCGGAAGGCCGTGCCCGCTCCCCCCAAAACGAGGGCTCACTGTCCTGGTTCCGCCCTCCTCTAGATGCAGGCAGCGTGCGTGGTGCTTCCGGTTGCGGTAACGACTGCGGACCGGCGGCGGCGGTAGCAAGGGCGGCGGAGGCTCTTGCGGGAGTGTCGGCGTCAACCGTGCCGAACGGAGCGAGCCCCGCCGGGGACGTGTTTCTCTCCTTCCCGTCATAGTCGACGGTGCCGTTACTGCCGCCGCTGTCGGTGGCGTAGCGTTCGCCGCGGGTGCTGTCCGAGCCGGCGAAAACCGCGGCAGCTGCTACCATGGGTTTGGGCGCCCGCGATTCTTCCCGCGGAAGGGGCGGCGAACTCGGAAAGCCGCGACCGGCAAGGACATTCGGGGTTGGGGGTGGTTGCAGTTGGTGTCGTGAGGAGGGAAGCTTGGGCCGGAGGGAGGGGATCGCAAGCGATACCCGCTCGGTCTTCGTGCTGCTGCTGGTGGCGGCGGGTTCTAGGGTTTCCCACTTGGCGAAGGCGTTGCTGGCCGCCGCAGAGTTCATGCGGGTGGCACCTATGATTACTATTGAGTGGGGAATCAACCAAAGCGGTTTGCAGATTGTGTGAGATCGGCGGGGTGGGAGACCGGCTCAGTCGGCGCACTCCAGGCAGAGATGTGGAACGAGTGTCTAACAAGCACTTGGGGAGTATGTTGCGGATGCGAAGCGCACGAGATGATCGCCAAATGCGAACAGGCTCCTCCTCCATTGGATACATACGCGGCTACGCGTGCCTGCTACTGACGGTAGTAGGCTCGCCAGTATACCTAACACTTTTACAGGTACTGACATTAAAAAACACATAGAACGGCAATGAACCTGTTAGGTCATAGGGGCTGAACACCGCAGCAGTATCCAGAGAGGGTTCGCACTCTGCCGCCGGCACATGAGACACGGACCGTTTTCTATTTTTGCTTCGGAAATGTTGAAAATGTCGCTTTAGTTTTGGGGGAAACTCAACACGAGAGACTGCCATTACGAACACGTTGCGCCCCACCCGTAAGTGATCCAGCTCTCCTGATATACTTACTTGTACTTCGGCCCAGGGGCCAGAGGCTCGGCCAAAGGGGGGATGACTTGCTTGCTAACCCAAAAGAGGCAGTACGTGAAAACATCTCTGCCTGTGGGTCTTTCACCCTCGTACCGCCTCTGCGCTATTCAGCAGTACTGCTGTACTCTGTCCATCTCACCTGTAGATCAGGTGCGAACAGCCGTAAGCAAAAGACGCACGGAATTTCTCTAGATGGGCGTTCTCTCATGCAAACAAACCAGGGAAGGGGGACTAACGGCGAAGATAGAGCAGACGAAAGCGCGGCGGGCGAGCGAGCGGCGGCGGCGGGAACGCGGGAACGGCGCTGGTTCTGGATGAGAACCAAGAGTAAGTGCACCGGGCACCCCCCCATATTGGTTTTTCCCCATCCCGAGGACCCCCGTCGCCAACCTTTGCTGCTCTCAGTCCTGCCTGGTCCTTGTTTCTTCCTCCTGTGCGGAGCCATGCCTGGGCGACCGCGTGAAAAAGTCTCACCCTTGCTCGTGTTCTCTTATGTGGCGCTGGCGCTCGTAGAACGTAGCGCTCTTGGACTCCGAATATCATCATTTGATGTGTCCACAGGTCAGAATGCTGGGAATGTCCTGGAGTTTGTACCTGGTGTCCCGTGTCCAGGTTGCTTACATGCAATGGGGGGGAGCTAAGCGTGTGACGGTCGTGCTCCTGTTCGCAAGCTCGTGGTGTTCAGAACCTGCGCACAGAGAAGGGGACGGCAGTACCAGCATAATATCTACACGCAACGGATCGAATAGGTCCCGTATGTTGTAGGTCCTAGCCAATAGCATGAGGTCCGATGTCCCCGCGGCGGATTCTCCGTAAACCTGCTGCGACGGAAGGATAGCGTACTATCACTATGGAGAAGCAGCAACGCAACGCTGCCGCTCCACCAACTCGCACGCCAGCCAGGCGCGCTACTGCTGTGTGTTATCGTGCGGCTTGTGGTACGCAGATAAACGAACACCCGCTGTGCTGCTGCAATATTGTATGTAGTGGCAGATTTCGTGCTCGGCGTTTTATGTAAGGTGCGCGCCTACCGCAGGATCGAGGTCGATCACATCGTCATTGCTACTGCTGTAGAGCACAACATGCCGGTAGTTGTGAAGCTGCAGGCTGTTGGTTAGCATCAGATCTGGCCTTTCAGCGACGTTTCCGCCTCAACGCCGTCAAGCAGTCGTCGACATATCATCTGCCGTTCCGTTCCCAAGCGAAAACAGAGACGATACCTTGTCATCTCATGCAAACCGTACATACAAGTAGAGCAAAGGACAAACTGTTGTTTTTCGTCACCTGAACGTCCTCTGCGCGTTCAGCGTCCCCCGAAGCCATACGTACGTCCTACCCTCCGCCCCCCCCCGCCGCCCACCCAATGCCGAACGCTCGATGGATCGAAACAGCGAAAAAGTCTCCCTAAACAACATTGTTTTCCCCGAATTCGTTAGGCCCGAACAGCATCCCTAATCGTATCGCTACTTTCCCTAAATTCCTTTAAAACGTTCAGCCCGAACAGTGGCTCGCCTTGGACCGTGGGGGGCAGCGGCACATCAACGAGGCGGCGGCAGAGTTAGCAGCAGAAGAAGGGTTAGAGGTGTCGAGGGCGGGGTGCTGCGCATGGCCAGAGACTTCTACGAGGCAAGTGAGAACTCCACCGTTACAGAGCAACAGATGCTCTGTCTGGAGCAGCAGGGGGGGGGTCCTCATGTTTTCCATGCCTTAGCGGCTAGACCGCTCGTCTTCGAGAGGACGGAGCTTTGTGGGTGTTGGTGTTGGCGGGGGGGTACTCCTGTTTTGCGTACCTTAGCGGTTAGACCATTGACAACTCGTCCTCGAGATAGATGCTCTGGAGCAGGGGTGTGTATGTGCCTCCGGTACTTAACAGCGCGTTAGCGCTGGTGGGAGTCGGCAGGCTCTGCGGGAACCGCCAGATTTGTTTTGAAAAACGACGTTTTGAGGTCATGGGGGTTAGAGACTCTACAACCTGACAATATAAACTTCCGAGTGTGCACATGACCCCACCATTACTGTGTTTAAGCGACGTTTTGAAGTCCGGAACAATACATCATGGTCTTTCGGGGGGTGTCTTGTTTTTGCTGCTGTTGTTGTTTGTCTTGATCTGCAATACCTCCATCCAGAATTCGCCCGGACTTGCCATTGATCTTCAAAGGCAAAGAAGATCACTTTACGCGTTCCCGAGGCATGTAATAAACCCAAATGGTACAAACGAGATGTTGAAAGGCGCAGACCCCAAGGGCAGGTCATGCAAACGCATGCAATGGACTACAGTCGGGGTCCCTCTATAGGGCGGGTGAAATCGCTTGGCACAACTTGGACCCCACTATAGTGCGGGTGCCGCACTATTCGGGGTACTCCTCTATAGTGCGGGTTTGGTCCCTCTCCAGACCCTGTATAGTGCGGGTTTTGACGTTTTTTCGTTTTTTGGTATCGAATGTATACGGGCTGTCTGCAGTACGTGTGTGGAATGTGGGTCAATTTATTGCGGGTTTTCGCCAGTTTTTTTTTCTTCTTGCGTTCACCCCACCTAGCCCCACAAAAGCATGGTGTTGCGTTGTGTGTAGTGACGTTTTGTGAAAGAAAATGAGAAGCAGGGTCTTTGCTTAGGTCGTCTTTGCTTTTGGAGTGTTCCCCCCTTTGCTTTTCGCATCTGTGGGTTACTCTGGAGTGGTTTTGAAAGTTTTTTTCCAAAGGTGCTCCTCGGTTGTGTGTGCAGATGGATGCGGACGTGTTCCATTTGGCTCGTATTAATATAAAACAGATGTCATCCTCTCAATAATTTAATAATATTCCAGGGGGATCAACGCACAACGGATTGGAGCAACAACACGGGCTGAGACACAACTTTTCACTCAGCATACTCTGGCGCTACATGCCATGGATCCAGGGCATGCCGCGATCTGTTCTACCATGCACAGATCAGATGTCGTTTTACCGCTGCGCAGTGCGTTCTAGTCTCACCGACGAACGAACGCAGGCGTCTATCTATCCTATAAACCTCACCTCTTATTTTGTCCCCTCACTTGTTGCGCACACTACCGCTGTGCCACCTTCATTTGCCTTGTCGTTGGCTTACTCAACCCGTACACTACTTTATCCTAGTGATATCGCGAATAGTGCGCTTCCCGCACTGCTGTACAGGGTTCTGAGGTCCCGCACTATTCAGGCGCGAAATCATGTAGTGCGGGTACCCACTATAGTGCGGGTCGTTTCGCTCGGCACATACCCGCACTATAGAGGGACCCCGACTGTACCGCAACCAACGCTGCTGTTCACCCCCCAGCCCAACAACACAACTACCACCATCCGCGGATCCCCGATTGCATGCACGGACAGGTGCTGGAGATCCCGGAGACCGCGGACCAATCAGAGATCAAGAGAGCTTATAGGCGGAAGGCTCTAAAGACTCACCCGGATGTCAACACGGCACCCACGGCGAAGGAAGAGTGAGTGTTGTGTGTTGGGGCGGACTAGAGAGACAGAGATGGTTAGTCAGCTCCCTTCTCTTGTTTACGTCCGTGGTAGAGGAGACTGCCACGTTGTTCCCCATTGCTCTCTCTCTCTCTCTCTCTCTCTCTCTCTCTCTCTCTCTCTCTCTCTCTCTCTCTCCCTCTCTCCCTCTCTGTCTATCTGTGTTTTGTCTGTCTCTTTCTCTTCCCATGCGCCTCTCCCTCTCTCTTTCGCAACGTCGCTCGTACGGTGCTTCGTAGATTCCGTAGATCTCAGGTATGAACTACATATGTAGAAAAACGGAAATCGTGTTGCCATCGGCGGCGGCTACACTAGAGCCGAAGACCACACGCGAGTTACGTGCTTCGGGTGGAGGGAGAAAGAAGGCGGGCGACGGTATGTGCCTCTTTCCAACCCTGCCCCCCACCTCTACTCATCCTTACAAAAAGTAGCCTGGGCCGGCGAAAACCCGGCATATCCCTCCGTCCCGGGTTGTTGGGATTCGAGGTCACCACTACGGCATGCGTTTACATGAGTACCCCCCCCCCCCCCCCCCCCCCCTCTTTCTGGGGCCCCCCCATTTTCCGGGAGGGGGGGAACGCCCACCAAGGGTTTTCCGAACAAAAAAAACGGGGGAACTACAACACGAGGGGCAAGTTTGCCCACCCCTTCAGGGCGGGGGGGGGGGAAGAACCCGGGGCCCCCGCCATGGGGGGGGGGGGGGGGGGGGGGGGTGGGGGGAATCCAACTTAAAACCGGGCCAGGGGGGAAAGGGTCCTCCCCTGGGGGGGGAAAAACCCCCCCCCGGAGAAAATTGGTAAGGGTTCCCAAAAACGGGGGGGGGTCCCGGGGCCTGTTTCCTTGTGGCCTGGCCAAGGGGTAAAAAACCAAGGGGCTTTTTAACGGGTTACCCCCCAAAAAAAAAATTCCCCCATGGGGTGGAAAAAAAAATGGGGAAAAGAATTTTTTTTTACAAACCCCTGGGT